GAGTGGTCATTATTTATGGGGAGAGGGGTTGGGAAATGGGAGGGGGGGGGGAAACGAAGTTTTACCCTTATAAATAGGGGGGTCAAAAAGTTTTAACACAGAGAAAGGAGGGGGGGTCATAAAAGTTTTTGAACTTAAATACCATGTCTAGAGTTCTGATTTCTATAATCACAAATAGCAAAAAAGAAGACTCTGAAAATGCTATTTCCAACGATCTAGAGACTCAAAATTTTCAAAATTTCCCTGCTCGGCGCCAACCATGGTAGCGCCTCGCGATCGTGGGAGTCGGGCCTACTAACTCTAACCGGCTTTCTACCCCCTGAGTGACCCAGTTGTGGTATTTACATAAACATACCATGCAAGTACACTTAACTGATCAGATTCGGTCTATCAACGCACAATGTAACGCTGTATATCCAAAAATCTGTTTCAGAAAATGCTCACATTTCAGTTCTAGGGGTGGAAAAATACAAAACATTTTCAGGGGGAGAATACCCCCAGACCCCGCTACTAGTACATACAATACCACACCAAACTTTTTGTCACCAACAACCATCTGTCATCTCTCCACACTCAATATAGTATGGTCCCTTTTTGTAGATGCCCACCCCCCAGACAAGTTCTTAAAAAACCCTGTGTTCAAATCATTTTGCTGTATGAAGACAGGTCATGGGTTAGGGTTATGGTAGGACAAATGTTGCATTGCAAAGTAGTAACACATAATATATATTTTTTAATCATATATGGTTGAATCATATTCACCAGGGTAAAACAGCATGAGCTAGATTAAACAGATTGTCCTAATATCTAACTTTACCTGCAACGCACACCTGTTTCATTGCTGTTAATTTTTCAATCCACACTGGGGGGGGTCAGAAAAGTTTCTACTTTTATGAGGGGGGAGGCACAAAAAGTTTGCCTTCAGTCTGGAGGGGGGGTCAAAAAAGTTTTCAATCCTTATTTTCCCCATTTCCCAACCAACCCCTCCCCATAAATAATGACCACTCCCTTAGCAGAGATTGTCTGATAATTTCCCAAGATGTTATTTGTTTACACAGATGAGCTTGCATGTGTTAAGTTTGTCTTCCCAGATTATTCATCCACGGTCTGAAATTTGCAGTATCCCAATATCCCCAGGATACTAAAATTTGGTTTAGGATATCAAACTGTGATTATGACTTGTACCCCATTGGATATTTACAAAATCTCAAACATTAGGATAGCTTTGCCAATAGCTTTGAATAGGAAAGTCAATAGCTTTGAATACTATGTACAGTATCCCATTGGATATTACAAAATTTCAAACATTAGGATAATGTTAAATGTCTCTGGTGGTCTTAAGCCTCCCTATTCAATAGCTTTGAATACTATGAGTTTGCCTTCTTGAAATAACCAACTTGGTGGTCTAGTTGTTGACTGTTGAGTCTACCATTGTTATTGTAATTTATAGCAATGACAGACATGTACTGTATATGTACTGTACTTTGATGCCAAAATTTATGGTAACCAGTATCCAGAAGTGGGATACTGGATTCTCAGCTGGTGCAGTAACAATATTTTATATGTATAATTATATTAAACTATTAGGAATGTTTCATTCCTAGAATCTTTTTACTGTAGATCACATTTCAATTAATTTGTCTGGAGTTAGTCTTACATAATACACTAAGACGTTGATTTGATTTATCAAACAGATGTATATCAAGCCAAGGTTCCAAATGAGGCCAGTAATGTGCCTGGGAACCTAATCTCATAAATTTTCCAATTTTAGGAAAAAAAATAGTAAAAATTGAAAAACTAGGCAACAGAAATGTATTAATATATCATTGTGGCTTTGTTTGGATAATGCAGACAGTCGTATTCAAGCTCAGATATTATTCATGCCAATACGACTGTCTGCATTAACCAAACAAAGCCACAATGATATATTAATAAATTTCCTATATCAACACAAAGCATATAATAACCAAATTATAATTAACCTGACAGTCGCTTGTCAACTCCGTCTTGTTAGTATTGCATGCCCTCCGTGACCCCATTTCTTGCCTGCTGATCGATCTTCTCAATTTGTAAATCTCATTTTGCAAACTTCCAATTTCTTTGTTGGCAGATGTCAACCTGATGGCAAGCACTTGGACTTTTGACATCTCTTTGTTTTCCACGGTTTTCGTTTCTAAGAAAATCAGAAAAGAGTCAATCCAAGGATTCTGCAAGTGATGGCTTGAGCCATTAATTAATGCAAAATGTCCCCCCCCTAAATTATCAGTGAAGTACTCTGGGGTTCGACAGAGTGGGTTAAGAATAACAAAGTCCAAAGGCATTGGGGTGGATTGCACTGATCAGCAGGTAATCTGACTTCATCATCAATGGGAGATTATTATTAATTAGCTTGGGATTACAGCTTAACCCACTGAGTCGCATTGCGCCCTACTTCATTATTTTACTCTGTCTAACACCAGACGATTTTACTTGCCAAGGGGAGAGTGCTGGCGCTTAATAGTTATTAGTTAACCCCGTCCCATTGAGTCACATTGGGCCCTGACGTGCCCTAATTTATTTTATTTACTCTGTTTAACGCCAGACAATATGAATTGCTCTTTGTTATAGCAATTTGGAGATTTAAGCCAGCAATTCTTTGCGCTCGTTACAGCCATGGCTGGGCGCATGCCTGCACGCTAATTGCACAAAGTAACATGATTTTGTGCAAAATAAAATGACGTACTATTGCAAAGTAAAATTATTCTGTAAGACAGAGTAAAATAACAAAGTAGGGTATGCTTAATCTCTCTCAGTCTAATGTCAGACAATTTACTGATATCAGAGAGGTAAGACAATTCCAATGTTAACCCTTTAATTAAGTGCCAACATGCCCTGAGGTGCCATACTTTATTATGTTACTGTACTCTGTCTAACACCAGACAATATTACTTGTCAAGAGAGAGTACTGCCACTCAATGGATTAATACAAGAATACCTGCCCACATCTCTTAACTATTAAGATGCAATATTCTGTTGAGTATAGCTGTCACACCATAATACAGTATATTTTGAATTTTTCAGAACAAAGAATGGCCATTTAATAAGACATCACAATAGCAGGCAGGGCAGTACTATATCATTAACATACCAATTGATATCCGGACTAAATCTGTTAGACCAATTAAGTTTAATTAACACAGAAAACACGACTTATTCATTTGGACATTTCTAATATATGGACGCTTTATATAATTCCATTCACGACTACATGCTTATATAAAATGTGGGGTAACATTTCTGCTAAAAGGTTTTGGAATGAAAACTATGATCGATTCTAATACAGATACTAGATTCACAGATATATAATCATATACTCAGATTACATAACGGATTTATATCCAAAACACATGCCGTGTACTTGTTAAATTCTGCGAAATAAAAACTCATAGCGATCTGTTTCAAAACTGACAATCGAATTCTTGGTTTTATACATGGTGCGATCGCTTATTTTTGCCCATATTTCGATAGATTTCTACGTTATAAAATGCAAAATAGTCTTATCTATATCACACACATGTTGTTGTGATCATGCTGATAAGTAACTGTGACAAATTAAGAGCTTAAATTAGAAATGTTTGCTACAAAATGTTGTTTACATATTTCAAAAACACCCACCTTCGTCCAGCGAACAATTCGCGTTATACAGCCAAGAATAGAAGAAAATGACCCAAGAAGATAGTATAATAACGACCATGAAAACTCGATGTTTTATGTGCCTTCTCATGGTCAGGCTTTGCCGACAAATGCTTTATAAAAACCAGCTTTTCAACGGTGTCAAAACACCTAGAATGCGATCGCCAAAGTTCATTCGCAAAAGTGTGTCGAGTCTTAACTTTCAACGGCAAATAAACCGGCCATGTTGGACCAGAGGCTTTCTTCTGTCAGATAAATATAAGCATCACTTCAAATATAGTTTATATACACAGAGAAAGAGCCCCAGACACTTAGGATTCCAGTATTGATCGACTTTAATCGTCGTTCGGTATATATTGTTTTTATTAATATGAGCAGTTCAAGAGGTAAAAGGGCAATTTCCGGCAGCTGTAAATTACTTCACTTCCGTTTCCGGTAATAGCCTTGGGATTGGTGACTGACCTCTATATGTAGGGTTTTCAGAGGTTTTAGGGGCTGATTACTACATGGGACGAGGGG